TTTCTTTACATAGGGCTAGAACATGTTCTTTTAACTCACAGAAGTTTCTTATTATCCACCTTTTGAAGCCTAAATCTGGTAATGGAAAGTACTCGTTCTCCATCAGGCCTTGTTCCCTTGTTGATGAGGAACTGTGATCCCCTGTAGAGGGAGAGGCATTCTGATTTTGGGTATTCTCAGCCTTTTTACGCTGGTTTCTTCCCATCATTGTAAATTTATCCACCTGTCATCTTTGTAATTACCGACTTTCAAATTAGGTCTCTGAGTAGACATCCAACTTGTTGATTCCCAGCACCAGAATCTGAGCAACCCACTGCACCAGCCAAAACAGCCATGTTAAGGTTCGTGGTGCTTTTCTGCCCAGGAATCTCCAGTCTGGCTTCCTTCTTGAGTCCCTTTTTCAATCAGCTGAATAGGCGACTCTGCCTTCCCCGAGCTCCAAACGTTGACCAAAAGGGGACCCAGTCCCATTTACTCTGCACCAGAGCCGCAGCACTGGCCACAAGAGTCGTGCTGGTGACCTGTGGGGCTCCTCCGCTGGGAATCTCCTGGTCCGTGAGCAACAAAAATTCGTCTGAAAGTGTGGCATCCTCTCATTCTCTGCGCCTTCACTGGGAGCCACAATCCTGAGCTGCTAGTAATCAGCCATCTTGGATCTCTCTCTAAGATACTTATTTCTAAAAAGGAATGTTAACTTAGTTCATTGGCATTTTTACAAACATTAAAAAAATAAATAATGATGTTGTCTCTATTTGGAGATGACATGATCTTTATATGTAGCAAACTACAACGATTCCACCAAAAACGAAACAAAACAAACTGTTAGAGCTAACCAATGAATCCAGTAAAGTTACAGGATTGAAAATCAACAGGCAACAGACAAAAATCAATAACATTTTTTATATACAAATAAGCACTTAGCTGAAAAAGAAATAAAAAACACTCCCATTTAAAATTGCATAAAAAATTCTTAGGGATAAATTTAACCAAGGAGGTGAAAGATTTATACATTAAAAATTATAAAACATTGATGAAAAAAATTGAAGACACAAATATATAGAAAAATATTTCCTGTTACTGGATCAAAAGTATTAATATTGTTCAAATATTTATACTACCCAAAGAAATATAGAAATTTAATGCAATAACTATCAACATCCCAATGGCATCGTCACAGAAATAGAAAAATACAATTCTAAAATTTTTGTGAAACCACAAAAAAACCCAAATAGCCAAAGCAGTACTGAGAGGAAAAAAGTTAAAGGCATTATACTTTCTGATTTAAAACTATATGACAAAGCTATCATACTCAAAATAGCAAGTTACTGGCATAACAACAGAAACCTACATCAATAGAACAGAATAGAGAGCCCAGAAGTAAATTTAAACATACACGGTCAATAATTTTACAAAAGGGTGCTAAGAGGACACAAGGTGGAAAGGGTAATCTCTTTGATACATGGTGCTGAGAAAGCAGGACTTCTACATGCAAAAGAATGAAATCATATATTTATCTTACACCAAACACAAAAATCAACTCAAAATAGATGAAAGACCTAAATGTAACACCTGAAACCATCAAGAGAACTTAAGGGAAAAGCTCTCAAACATTGGTCTTGGCAATGATTTTTTGGATAACACACCAAAATCTCAGGCCAAAAGAGAAAAAAATAAATAAATGAGACTACATCAAACTAAATAGCTTCTGCACAGGAAGAAAAACAATCAACAAAATGAAAAGGCAACCGACAGACTGGGGAAAAAAATATTTGTAAAGCATATATCTGATAAGGAGTTAATATCTATAAATAACTCTTATAACACAATAGGGGAAAAATAACCTGATTAAAAAGTGGGCAAAGGACATGAACAGACATTTCTCCAAAGAAGACATAAAAGTGGCCAACAGATATGTATGGAAAAGTGTTTAACATCACTAATCATCAGGAAATACAAATTAAAATTACTGTAAGATATCACTTCATTCCTGTTAGGATGGCTATTATCAAAAAGACAAGATATAACAGATGTCAACAAGGGTGTAGAGAAAAGGGAACCCTAGAACACTGCTGTAAGAAATGTAGATTAGTACAGCCATTATCCAAAACAGTATAACCATTCTTAGGAAAATTCAAAATAGAACTACTGTATGATCCAAATTAGATAAAATCACCACCACATAAAGATATCTGCACTCTCATGTTCATTGCATTAATCACAATAGCCAAGATACAGAAACAACATAAGCATCCGTATATGAATGAATGGATAAAGAAAACATGGAATGTATATACATACAATGGAATATCATTCAGCCTTTAAAAAGGAAGGAGATCATCCCATTTGTCATAACATAAATGGACCTGAAGGACATTATCCTAAGTAAAATAAGCCAGACACAGTAAAATATTACATGATCTCACTTACATGTAGAATCTTAATTTTTAAAAAAGGTCAAATATTCAGAGATAGAGAATAAAACCATAGTTTACTCTGGGCAGAATCAAGGGCAGGGGCAGGAAATGGGGAGATGCATGTCAAAGGATACAAAGTAGCAGATAAATAGGATGAGTAAGTCTAGGGATCTAATGTACATGAGGACTACGTACATTTAACAAAATTATGTTGTATTAGAGATTTTTGTTAAAAAAGGAGATTTCAGCTGTTTTGTCACAAAAATACTATGTGAAATGTTAGATATGTTAATCTGTCTTGCTACAGTAACCATTTGACTGTCTGTACATATCACATAACATTATAAGCCTCAAGTATACACCACACAAATTATTTTTCAAACAAGTAAATAAAATTCTACTTTTAGCTCAGAAAAATAAAATTAACCCTATAGGTACAAATGTGACATAGGCATGCCTACATATCCTAAATCTATTAGTATTACACTTAAATTTTCATTTTGGGCCTGTGAACAGAGAACACAGGCACTATTACTAAATAATACATTAAGTAATTACAGATATATTTAAGAACATAAAATTAAGATTTTCTGTTTTTTGGGTTTTTTTGTTTTTCACCATACTGGTTCAGCCCTTGAGCTATGGAATCAAGCTATTTTTGTTTGCAGCCTGATATTTCCATGTTCTACCTGTCTAATTTTGGCAAGTTTACTTGTGTCTAATGAAAGTGAAGGTAATAATAGTACCAATTAATACTTTGTAGACTTGTGGTTAATAAATATCAACTTTACCATTATTATTATAGTTATTACTGCAGTTTTGGTGGTAAAAGACATAACTCTTCTATATGATAATTTTACAGAGTAATTTACTCATTACTTATAGATATTGCAAAACAAAATATCTTTACAGATGTTAGGTATTATCATAATTATGATACTTTTCTAATTACGAGAATAATATGTATTCACTTTTTCTGTAACATACTTTTCCAACCCACTGAACAATATTTTCCAGGCAATATTTTATGAATCTAACCACATCTTTTAAACAAATATATACAACTTTCTAATACAGTTATAATGAATTTTTTAAAAAAATGTCTCTACTTACATGCATCTTGGAGTTACATTCTTTGGTTGTTGATGCCAGAGCGCTGCTATAACCTTTTTCTTGTTTTTGTATGTTTAATATTTGTAGAAGTATTTTCTTGACCAGATGTGTATGTTGTTTTGCTGGAGCATCAGATATAAAAATTGATATACATTTAAACTAGCAAAATTCCTTGTTAAAAATTTTGGATTGTTTTTCCTCACTACTCATTTACCCAAACCATCACTAACACTTGGTGTTATGAATCTTTTATTGTTTTGCCAATTTCATAAATAAAAGTTGTTTTTATTATATTGATTTGCAATTTAATGATAAGGGACGTAAGTGGCTTTAATTTAGTGGTTATTTACATTTTGTTTGAATTGTCTATTCACTTCCTTTTTCAGTTTTGTCCTCTATTGATTTTTCAGAAGCTCTTTATTTGGGTATGTTTTATCATCTCTGTGTGACAAACATTTCCTCACAGACTGATTTTTTCTTTGCTTATGGTATATTTTCTTATGCAGAAGTTTATATCTTGATTTAGTCAGATCCATTGAGAATATCCTTAACAGTTTATGAATTTGTATTCTTTTTAAAGGTTTTAATTTCAAGATTATAAAAGAGTCCCTCATAATTTTTTTAATCTTACAACTTTATACTTAAGGTTTTTTTATGTATTTTCCTGGCCTCTGTATTCTGTGCTGTGAGGACAGAGGAATGACTCTGCTCTGATAGGCAGTGTGGCAGACTATGACAGATGTGCCACAGAATCCCAGAACCGAAATTTTTATTCTTACGAACAGCAGGAAGAGAGACATTGTGAACTGGCAGACACATGGAGTTTTTTTGTGTGTGTCTATCTCTAATAACATTTGTTGAATATCTACCGTTAGAAAAACTATTCATTGAATAAACACCAGGCTCAAGTATCACATTAAAATATTACTAAAAATACAATTTTATGGTATATTAATGTAACTTTTGGAATGAAATTCCTAAAGAACATACATGTAAAATGTTGAGCTCTTCATAAGGAGTGATACATTTTTTCCCCAGCTCTCTGAAAGTTTTTGCCTTTTAAAAACTAGCATTCATCTTTTTAATCTCTTCAAATATGCTTGACCCCTCCCCAAGTTCTAGCGTTAAAAAATGTGCCACAAATGCAAAAAATGATGACAGCTAGGGAGCATTTTAGCAGAATTTGAAATAGGTGGTTTAAATTTTACTGTACTGAAATCCTAAAGAATCAGCCCAATTCATTTCTTAGTGAAAAAGTCCAACTTAATGCTTTGGGCCTTCAGATTCAGGCCTTTTCTTATCTGATCTCTTCTTGGTTTGTGTCTCAGTCTTCGGGAACCAGTATTACTGTGGATATAGCCGTGATGGGCGAGGCCCACGGCCTCATTACCGACCTCCTGGCAGACCCTTCTCTTCCACCAAATGTGTGCACATCCTTGAGAGCCGTGAGCAACTTGCTCAGCACACAGCTCACCTTCCAGGCCATTCACAAGCCCAGAGTGAATCCCGTCACTTCCCTCAGTGAAAACTACACCTGTTCTGACTCTGAAGAGAGCTCTGAAAAAGACAAGCTTGCTATTCCAAAGGTAGGTAATAATGACATACTCCTTAAAGGGTTAAACTGTTTTTAAAAAAATTGTCTTCTAGGTCTCCTTCCTATCACCCCAACTCCATCTGCGAATTCCTATCAGTGACTCAGGCAAGATGTGTTGATCATGCTGACAAAAGTAACAAATATTTAAACATAAATACTTCTCTCCTTATACCTGATAGTTTTCTATATATAAAAAATTTATCTTTTTATGTTAGTTCTTTTATTTAATCTTTCATGTTACTTGCAAACATTTTTCTATATGCCAGGCTCTTTTCTAAGATGGTAAGGATATTGCCATAACAAAAAAAAAAAATGAAAAGGCAGAAATCCTTGCTCTTTTCTAGTGCAGATTCTGTTTAAAATCCATTGACTCCTAAAACTGAAGGTTGCTTTACTCTTATTTTCTTGAATGATATGCTTCAAAATACCTCTTGACTTTCCAATACACAACCACGTTTGAACCCAGAACAGTTTTAGTCAATTATAGAGTATTTAAAGTAAAAGATGTCCTTAGTGATTTCTATAAATTCATAATTTATATGTAAAAAGGAAATTACACAAATGTATTATTTTTATATATATGGTATGAGTATTACAAAAGCAAATTGTAAGAGGACCCTCACCCATTTTAGATCTCAATATAGATTAAAAATAAGGCATATTAAAGGCTAAAAAAATCAGAGTGTCATTGGACACTGGTATATTCAGCACGGTCACTTATTTAGTAAACAAGCAGCTGTCCTTTTGAGCTGGTAGTCAGTAACATCTGTGTTTCTGCTATTGTGAGTCCCTCAGGAGTGTGATCTTCATAACTTTATCAATTACATATTTACATACTTTCTGTCTAATGTACAATTCCCTGATATAGATATACTAAGTATAATATGACAGTAAGGAAATGGAGAGAGAGATTAACTGGTTCCTTCAGGTCTCAAATTAGACCTGAGTTCAGTGACAGATTTAAGGCCAGAAAGCTGGTATTTAAGAGTGTTTGACTTTTTCTCTTCCAACTGAATTACCTTCTAAGATGCACATTCAGATCTTTAAGAGATACTAGAAACTATTTAGTATCAGAGCTATTCTTAAATCCCAAGGTGACATATAATTCACTTCTCAAAATTTTTTACCTTCTTCAGAAGAGCAGAATGTCTTTGTGAACTACGCCTATGCGGTTGGTTTATTAGGAGTGATTAGCACAAACAAAAGTGGGTTGTGGTTCTGTCTATTATGACTGTTGGTGAAGTTGTAGAAAAAATACCTTCAGTTTAACTTTTTTTTTTTTTTGAGAAGGAGTCTTGCTCTGTTGCCTAGGCTGCAGTGCAGTGGCACAACTTCAGCTCACTGCATGTTGGCCAGGCTGATCTCAAACTCCTGACCTAAAGTGATCCGCCCGACTCAGCCTCCCAAAGTGCTGGGATTACAGGTGCGAGCCACCACGCCCGGCCCAGTTTAACTTTTAAGGTCCAGATCTGCTTTAGAGTATTGGTGCTCATCCTAGTGATCCCAGACTCTTGCCGCAGTACACATGATGCTACATATCCTGCGTAGGATATTTGGGAGATGAAATAAGAAGGGGAAAAGTAGGTTGACCAGCAGGGTCTCCTATTAAGAGGTGTTGACACTATTCATATCTCTGATGTCTAAGTTACATTAATCATAAGAGAAGTGGTGCATTTTATGAAAGACTTACATTCTTACACTTAGCTCCTTTCATTTGTAAATGAAGATAATATAGTCAGTATACTTGGGGTGTAGACTAGGGTGCAAGATGATATAAATTAATCCATGCCCCCAAGCAAGTGACTTTTGAGGAAAAGCTTCTCATAACAAGGAGTATAATAGATACATAAATCCTGTTGAATAAATATAACTACAAAATTATCTCAGAGGTAATTGACACTCACTCCTGTAATCACATATTTGTGTAAGCATTGAAATAAATACCCCCAAATGTTATTTTTATATGCATTCATTTTAGCCAGAGTCTTTTATTAAATTTCTGAGCACCCAAATTTTAGATAGGTGGTATTCAACCAATATAATTTAATCAATTAACCTCATTAAAAGCTCATTTCCTTCTATGATATTCCATACAAATTAAGAAATATAAAATAAGCTTGGTAATGAAGTTAAGTCTCTTTCCTAGCGCCTGAGAAGGAGTCTGCCCCCTGGCTTGTTGAGACGAGTTTCTTCCACTTGGACCACCACCACCTCAGCCACAGGTCTACCCACCTTGGAGCCTGCCCCAGTTCGGAGAGACCGTAGCACCAGCATCAAACTGCAGGAAGCACCTTCATCCAGGTGACATATGGCTCTCGCTGGCTTAATGTCTCTTAGAGAAGTTACTTGCCAAAAATGAGTTATAAATTACCGGAGAAGGAAGGCCAACCAATTACATTTGGTTGGAGGTCAGCTTTGAAAATGGAAAGGGTGCGTGGTTTAAATGCAGAGCTGTATGGGGGTTAACATCAGATAATCAGGCTTAACGTCTGTTGTGTGGCCTTAAATTTAAGTGGAAAGAATCACCTGAGCTGATCTCTGCCATTGTGACCTTAGATGGGAAAGGTTAAGCCCAGGATAAAGGTAGGCTAATTTTATCTACATTGAGATTCATGTTGAGACCCTTAAATCAAAAGCATCTAACTTGACATTTGCAATTGATATGAGATGCCCCTAGCCCAGTCCTTAGCCTCCCACAAGACCAGCTGTCTTAGCTTTGGACAAAGGACAAAAGAGCAAATCAAAAGTAGGTCATACTAAGAACACCTAGATATGTTCAAACATTTGATAATTTAAACTTTCCTGAGGATATTAATTCTAATTTTTCAAAGCAACTTAAAAACTAGAATTATCAAAACTAAAGAAAAGGTTATATTAACATCTAAAAAGTATTTTGAAGAAAATAGCCAAGGAAAGTGCATTTAGAGGGAGATACTGGGTCCCTTTCTATTTAGAATAAAAATGTTATACTTATCATACTTTATTCAATTCATTAATTGTGAGAACATTTACCATATGATTTCAGGTTTTAGAAACACATATATCAGTTTTATCAATGACCTAATGAATGAAAAATATCTACATCTATGTCATATTACATGATAGCAATAACAGAAGTACTTTTCTCCTGATCTTAGCCTGGGATATAAATAAACCAACATACTGAGTCTAATAGAAATATTTCAGATTATAAGAATTTAATGACTGTTGACTTTTCTTGCCTTTTTGATTAAAATTTTTTAATTGGTTTCTTCCATATGAATATTTGTGTTCTAATAAACCTATAGAATTGGAAGCAAACTCAAATGCCATTATATATTTTATATGTCAGTATAATTCCACTCCAACCTATTACTGGGACTTTTGTAAAACCTGTAAACAATACAAGAAGAGATTATGCAGTGTTTCATGAACATTTTCTGAAGTTCGAAACAGAAGTCAATGGTAATATTTTTCTCTAAAAATATTGATCATTGACAATTTCTACAGCAGCAAATACTGATAAATGTTAATAGTATTATAGTTAAATATTACTTAATAAAATGAATTATGTTTTCAGTGTGTATCATCAGAGTGTCTACTTTGCCAATGCACCCTGCTAAATTTCCTTTCATAGTATAGGTAATGCTTCATGATTTCCTTTCCATAGAATGACTCTATCAAAAATCTACTCATGCTTTCTCAAATGTCTTCTTTCCTTCTGTTATTCTTTGTTAATTCTAGTCAAATCTTATTTCCCCTCCCTGTCTCTTCTCTTAGTCAGTTAAATGAACTTGAGAGTTTAAATTGAAATCATGACAAAGCAAAAAGTTCTAAGAACTTTTAAGAACTTAACGCCCAAGGATCTTGTCATTCTTCTTTGTAAAATTGATACATCCAAATATTTACAATAGATATAAGGAATATCATATGATCCCCTCCATTCTCATTCTCTCATCCTAAAAATACTCATAGATCTCTTACCTGTGTATATGTTTTCATCACTGCCTAATATATTATCTCATAATCTCACTGTCCTGCGAAAAGTTCTGATGTAAAATCTGAAAGCAATATAATTTCTTCATCATTGTGAAGAAAGGAAATTCATTCTGAGTAGAATTTGATCCCTTTAAGGGAAAACCATTTATTAGTAAGTGGCAGTAGTACCACCACAAAATACAACTAGTTTTGGCTTGATTATAAACCAAAGTTAAAACCTTCTTTTGAATTTTGGCCCTGAAATTTCTTCCCTTTTAGCCCATTTATTTATTCCTTTCCATATCTGTTCATTTATTGGGTCTCTTTGAGGACTGACATTGATCAAAAGAATAACAAGAATGAGAACTAAAAATTAGAAATGCAACTTATATCCCTTTACATATACAATTGGATAATTTGCTACTGGGTAATTTTAAATACAGTCTGGTAGAAAGGACACTGGACTGAGAATCTGAAGGGGCTTGGTCTTAGCACTCAGAAATGTATTATGTTGTTAGGAGCAAGTCATTAACCTGCCAGAATCTCTGTACCCAACCACAAGGAGTCATTAGGAAAAGGGGAACTATGACATAATTGGAGGGGTAAATTAGATGGAAGAATACAAGTAGGTGCTTACAAAATAGGCTTTAGAGAAATAGAAAAAGCTGAAATAAATCAGACCCTAAATCATTCCAAGTTGACCTTGCAATTGACCCCTGCCTGTGTGTCTAGGCAAAAAGAAAGCTGTAACCTTAGCAAAAGAGACTGTTACCTGATCAGACTTTAAGGACTTAGGATGGAGTCATAAGGGGATAATAAGAGCAAAAGACCACCTTTGGGAAGAGGATTGAGATCTTCCATCACAAGCACATAGACAATTTTCCTCTGCTGTGCCAGTGTGAAGAAACCATGTAAAGGCGTTTATAAGCTGTTCTTCTTTACAGGATCCAAATTATTTCATATTCATGAAATCTAAGCCAGAATCAGGAAATAAGGGCCAATGAAAAGCTGAAAACTATCATGAGGGTCTCACAAAGCAATATATGAAAGCACCTGTAAACTATTGTGCATTGATATAGAATATAATATATTGACTTATTGTTTCATTAATAGTAAAATACAATTAATATTTACTGTATTAATGGGATGTGATTAGGATGTTATTTATCTTGAGTTCATTAAATTCACATTCATTAAGATATTCTAACATATTTTGCAAACTTTAAAATGAACACATTTTAAATGTTTTTATTTGAACAATTTACTATTCAACAATTTATTTGAATAGCTAGCCTTCATAATATATCTTTCTGAATAATATTAGGCATTGTCTTTTAAAAGTCTACTTAGAAAAGTAAAAGTAATAACCTATTCACTATATATAATGTATTGAGAACTGCAAACATTGAGGCCACATATACATTACATAATATTTCTTCACAGTAAATCTTTTCAGTTAATCAGTCCAGCAAAATGAATTAAAAGGGACCAACACCACCAGAAAATAGTCAGTGTAGTTCTCTCTTTCAAATCCAAAGTTTTTTTCATTTCATTATTTCCTAAATGTCAAGAACTTGCGAAATACTTAGGATGTGCTTTCTGAAAAGGAAGTCAAACAAATATTTTTGTGCCTCACTTAATTGCATTGTATAATTGCTGAAGGTCATACCACATTTCAAATGTCCTCACATATGGAAAACTGCTGTAAGAAGTAAGGAGAAAAGATAAAGTTTTTAACTACATTGGTCAATAGTTGAAAAAAATCTTTCTAAGATGGAAAAAAAATTGAGATAACAAGTGTTAGAGTGTCAAATTGACCTCAACTGAAATTACAGATCTCACCCATTGCCGAATTTACTAGTAATCAAAGGATACAGACAATAGCAAGACACATGTTTAGCATTCTTTCCTTTGAGAGGTCTGTTAGTGCGATTCCCTGAAAATCCCTTTATTCCACATGTTCTGGTTTGGATTTAGCACGCAGGGTTTTAAGCAATGCATACATAATATTACTTGCACAGAGGGAACCATTTTAGCTCTGGAACCTCTCCAAATTATATCCTCTTAATTATACAGCTGATATGGCAATCTCCATGCATCCATGAACCCCTAATTCTATCAATTTCAGGTTTATTTACAGTAAGCCACCCAGACAGAGGAGGCACATCCTGCTTACATTGCCAATCTAAGATTGGTAAAAGATCAAATTGTCAAATCATATTTGTATAAATTATAGAATGTACCCAGTACCAAATTTACTAGTTCTTGAAAGGACACAGGTGTTAGCAAAACACAGACTAAGCACTTTTCCCTTGGAGCAGTCCAAGATTGTCAATACAACTTTCCAAATTCCTTTTCTCCCAAATTAGTATGGAGTCTATTTCAGATTCAATATGTAAATTTTGAGCAACACATACAGAGAAATTTTGTCTTGGAATACCTCCAAAATTTATATCACATTAATTGCATGACTTACATAACCTTCTCTAGCTCAACCTTCCATCAATCTGTTAATATTCATTCCACATTTATTTACAATAAGCAACCTAGGCAGACCAAGTACACCCTGGTCAAAGCATTTGCTAGATGAAGATTCTCCATTATCTTTCTCCTGGTACATATCATCAACTCCATTATTAGCATGTCCCTTTTAACAAATTCCCTTGAAAAAGATATGATGAAGTATTTTTTCAACATGAAAAAATATTCTCTTTTTATAAGGGAATTTGAATGGATCATCACTTTTTTTTTCTAGGTTATCACCAGTAAAGAGAAATCGTAAACTAAAGGCCTGCTGTTAGCCATTTCCTTCACAAGGAAATACTGCAAAAAAACCCATTATTTTTGAACGATTTTGTGGTCAATTTTTGAATACAGATGCACCAAAAATAATAGAGTACTGAAGTAAGCATTATGACACTTACAGTTTATGTAAATTCACCTGCATCTTAACCTTAATCTGCAAGTCTCTTTTAGAAAATCTGCAAGGAACATAATTCTAGAGTACAGTGAGAAGGTGTTAATTATTATTAATTGGAATATTAGAAAGTTATCTTTCCTGTTTCTTAACCCAGCATGCTTGATGAGTAACTGCTATATCCCTGCAACAGAGATTGTCTTTATGTAATCTGTTTCATCATTGGGAAGTACAGTGATTCTGTCACTGAACCTGAACCAACACTCAGATTGGCAAGTCTATTACAGAAACGATGTTTGGGTTCTGGCAAGATTGGCCCAATAACTGATGAATAATTTCTTGAATTTTCTTTTAATCCTGTGTTTATGGTGCTGTTAGTCCTGATTCTTGGAATAATCCAGGGATGATGACCCTCACCAAAAGCAGATCCTTCACTTCGTCCTATGCTGTTTCTGCAGCTAACCATGTAAAGGCTAAAAAGCAAAGTCGACCAGGTAAGTAACTTAACTGGAGAAGGGTTACTGTGAGTGTGGAGTCTTAGAGTAAACCAGACCTTAAGCGTTGAAATATTCCAAGGGTCTCCTATATTCAGATATGTTTGGTTTGCCTGTTCTAATAATCGGTTATTTTTAAAAGCCTCAATAACCAATTAGTTATTTAGATTTCCACCTATGTGATGACACTGATTCCTTCACAGTTGCTGTACAAGGTTTTCTATCTTGAACTAATTAGATGCATAGGAAATCACTTTTACCATCAAGGATAATCTCCAGAAGCATCATCTCATAATAGAAATTCCAACTTTATTTTTAGTGTCTATTAAAATTACCTTTCAGGAGTATGATATTTATAAGTTCAAGGAAGTGTTTCATTTACTACATATGAGCTATGATAAGGAATTTAAATATCAAAAATTTAAGAGTAATAAAGCTTTAGATAGGAAGATGAAATGATATGGGGGAAGATTAACCTCATGTGTTCAGGGTCTGTGCTCACCCAAAACTATAATAGGTGTTTTTGTCAGATTCTATCTCTGAATTGCCTTTCTCTTTAGAAGCCCAATTAGGAACCTGAGGTATTTCCTCTGATCTTTCCTTTTTGGAATCTAACTTCATGGTTTCACTTCTCAGTATTAGAGAAAACATCAATGATTTTTTTCAGAAACTTCCTGATTAATCTACTGCCTTTAGCAGTTTAAGCGTTCATCAAATGGTTAAAAGGAAAACTGCCTACTTCCCACTGAGATATGAAACATTCAAATTCTGGCTGCCATGGCAACCCCAAACTCCAATTTTTATGTCATCAGCCTCATGACATTGCTAAAAGCTCTGCTGGCCGCCTCCCAAACAGCTGCACCCCTCTGTCTGGATCCTCCACTTCTTGCTCCATGCCAATAGTCAGTAAATAATGCTTTGAAGGGAAAAACACTTTGCAGGATTTTGGCTCACCTTTCTGGGATTCTCTTCTTCATCAGAACCTAGTCCCTCAGAATTGTGTGCTTTACCTTGATAGCTTTTTTTTGTACCATTTTATTGGCATTACATCAGTGAAAGAAACCATTAAGGTAATCTGGTTTTCCAACAACTAATCTGGTCCTCTCCGCCCTTTAGAAATGTTCATTAAATTTTATCACTTTTAGAAGTCATTAACGACCTGCTAATAAAATTGAGTTTTCACCAGGGTCAGGCAATGTAGGATAATGTAGGCAAATACTTAAATTGAGATATCCCTGAGGACAAATGCAGATTAGCTCACTAATAAGGAGAATCATCTGGGACTCCAGCAAGGTGGAGAAACTGTATTTGAGAATTCCACATTAAACCTGAGACTCTTAAAGGCACACTAAGGTGGACTAAGGTGGTTTTGGGTAGGACCACTTGGCTCCCTATAAAAATATATGCAGATAATTTTGGAAGGAAAACATCATCAATTAAGGGCCATGAGATTTTATCAGATCATATTCAAACATGGAGCTTACAACCAGGACCACTAATTGCACAAAGAAACACCATGAGTTTGATTTAACAGAAACAAACAACTTTCTAGATCTGTAAGAGGGTCGAAATAATTAAATTGAAATTCAATTTAAAAATTTACACCTTTAAGGAAAAATAATAGCCATGAGAAAAGACCTAACTGCAGAGCAGCTAAATATACCTTTTTAAATGTAGGCAAGGAAATATTAAATAGCATAGTAGACTACTGAAGAGAGAATTAGCAAACTGGGTAGAGAAAGATTTGAAGAAATTATCCAGAATGCAACACAGATGAAAATGGGAAACTCTAATAGATTTTAAGACATATTCAAAAATTAGAAAGTCTAATATACATAATATATGTAATCGTACTTTTAGTAGCAGATGGAAGACATGAAATACTTAGGAGGAGCCTAGTAAATGGAAAGAAACTCACACGTAGATACAAAATAGTCAAACTACATAACACCAAAGATACACACACACACGCAAATCCTAAAGTCTACCAGAGAAAAGACAAATTTCCTTTTCAGAAAAAGCAGTAAGACTGAAAGCAGAATTATCAGAAATACTGGGAGTCAGAACACAGTAGAATATTTTCTTCGAAGTTCTGAAACAATATAATAGCCTAAAATTTTGTGCCTGGCAGATTCATCTTACAAGACTAGGAGTGAGCTAAAGTCAATTTGAAAGAAGTCGAAACATTACCACCTGCCAAATCTTTACTGAAGGAATTTATAATGGATATATTCTAGAAAGAAGAATAATCGAAAGTTTGAGATCTAATAAAAATGTTAAACAAATCTGAAAACAATGGGTCAATCCAAACAAACATTAAATTCATAAATAATAGTATTTCCAGATTTGTGAATAGTTTTTATAAGATTTTTTAAGGACAGAGCTAAAATTTCAGACAGTCATAATATGTAATTCAAGAGATGACATATAAATTTAAGTGTTCTAAATCTGTGTGTAGTTCAGAAAGGGGGTTTAGATGAGGAAACTGAGGAAAAAGAAGGTTAAGTGACTTGCTTTCCCTAGGTCATATGATTAATCCTGAATACATTCTTTTATCCTAATGACTTCATACTAGAAAAACGTGAGGATGACAAATTGTCATAATTTAAAATTAGGATATTTTGGGTTCTGTACTTGGCTGGGTACAAGATAATAGGAGGGTTTGGTTTTCTCACCCTGTTTCTTCAGTTGAGTAATAACATAAAAATTATTGAGTAACCAACATGATAAGATCAAGAAGGTGAAAATTATGGTTAGGGCACACACTGGAAATAACAGAGCAAATGATGGAACAACCTTATATTCCTGTGTCCTACTCCCCAGTTTGTATGACAGATTCTAGAAAAAACAGCAAAGTGTAAAAGGAAAGGAATGTTCACATAAGATACTACACAGACAGATGGTAGGAATTAAAGCCACAGGCATAGCAAGAGCCCCTTTCCATTCTTGCCATCAGGTGCATAAGGTGTTTTCATCATCATCATTTTGGAGAGGCTTTTGCATTGTGGCATCTTTAGACAGCACAGCTAAATGTTTATAAAATAACCTATATCCCATGCCGAATCCAACTAATTAAATTCCTAAAGGTCTGCCAAAAGAGACAAAAACATCTATCAAGAATCAGAGGGCTGAAAAGAGATAGCAGCTCTCCCTAATGAGATGGGAGCTTCTGCTTTAAAAATCCTTGCTTCCCTGTTTGGGTTGATGGAGCTAAGTGGTTGTGATATGTTTGATGCAGTTGACTGTGATGCATCCTGGTTTTCCATAAACTAGGAGAGGCGCTGGGAAGAGCCCCCTTGTGGCAAAGAGTGTAAGCAAATGGAATCAAATGAAATGTGAGGAGTCTGAGGAAACATGTAAGCAACAGGCAATAAGGTGAAGAGGAAGCAAGTATGAAGTAAGAAGAGACATACTGAAAGATAAATACTCTGTTTCTAGAGAGGACTAATGAAATTTGTTCTTTGCGCAGATCAAGTAAACAGTGTGTCCTCTAGTTCAGTCAATCAATGATAATTTTAAATAGCTGAAACACAAATTATTATTCAATTACTAATATAAAATAAATGAATGAAATCACATAGGACTCCTTTAATTAAAGCTTAAAAGCAGGAGGTTCAAATATAATTTATGTTTTCAATTTTGCTCTTCTAGTATGAGTCACTGACATTGTGGAGCTACCATGATATTATTCTGCTTTAAAAACGCCTTGAATTTATAGTTACTTGATTTGCAGTAGTCCTTTCCCAGATTCTTGTAAGTTTGGCTGCCTATTGCAGTGACAACAGGTATCTCTACACCTGTAATCTAGACTCTCTTTTTCCTATACAAAATTTGAAATGATAGAGAACTTCAACTATGGTATTGGGACTCTTTTTCTTTGGCATTGTTTTAGATGCAATTTCTGTTTTGGAAAAATATTTGGGCTGACCATTTTCATCTGGGCTTGGAAAAAAGAGATATCTTTATCAGACAAGCTGGTTCCTTTTTTGTTCAATTAAAATTAAACTGAGAGAGTTTTATAGCACAAAACAGATGGATTCACTTAAATAATTCCCCTGCAGTATTGTTTATTTTCTCTCATTGATTGCCCAAAATTCCTTGTGTCTTGACAGACATTTTCTCATGCTCTCAGGAACAAGGAATTAAAGTCAGAATTACTCAAAGGAGTTGGCATTTTAGGCTTTATTTTTAAAATTGTATTTTTAATTTTTTGTTTTTCAGTGTTTTGATTTTAAATATTTCACATTAGGACAGTTTGAATCATTCAAAAATTTATATTTCATGAGCTATATCTTCTTCCTGGAATCTGCTAAAATTACTCAAATATAAAGTGAATGTAAACATTAATATATTTGAGAGAATGCATGTTTATCTGAATCCCTTCACTTGTGTGTATGCAAATGTGTGAGTGTGCGATATTAAATTAGATGAGACTTTCAAAGGTTCTAACAGTCATCCCTCTGACTTTAGACATGATTACATTGAAACCTTTTTAGAAAATTTGTTTTTAAAGGTTTCCAAATGTTATTCCTCCCAGTTCCTCTGATGGTCCTCTTCCTGTAACTGAAATCATTTAGTTATAGTATTTATAGTTCATCCGTTCTATAAAAAAAATTTGGTTATTATCTGCATTTATCTCCCTATCTTTTTGAAGACTGATATGTGTAAATATGCATGCACATCCTAATTCTTCCTGTTTTTTTAAACTTTAAGTAAACTATAATAATGCACACTGGGATGGTTTGGCTTTGGAAGAAAAAAGAACGTATACTTTAATAGCTTTAGCTTCTCACCTGCAGAATAAAGATATCCCTGCTTCTCAGGTTCGTTGCCAAAAGTTGTGCTTCACCCAGCCTGGAGTGTAGCAGTGGCACCATCTCAGCTAACGGAAACCTTCACCTGCTAGGTTCAAGCAATTCTTCTGCCTCAGCCTCCCAAGTAGCTGGGAATACAGGCATGCGCCACCACGCCTGGCTAATTTTTGTATTTTTAGTAGAGACGGGGTTTCACCATGTTGGCCAGGCTGGTCTCGAACTCCTTACATCAGATGATCTGCCCACCTTGGCTTCCCAAAGTGCTGAGATAACAAGTTTGAGCCAATGCGCCCGGCTGAATTATGCTTTTGATAGTGTTCAAAATATGTAAGCTAATACTACAGAAGAGCTTCTCTTTTACAGGTTTATTTTAAATTTCATCCCAGCCAGTACATTTGGTATCTTAAAATCTGCTTGCTTGTTTAAATTTAGTTAATCCATGAGTTCCAAGAATTCAAATGGTGTGCGAATTTTTAAATTTGTGTTTGAAAGTGAATTGCATGTATCTGAGGCATCAGCTGGCAGCTACTAAAACTTAGCAACGAAAAAAATCATTCTCATAAACTGCCTTCAGAAAATACATGGTGTCAAGACAGAAATGGACAATGTTCTCATGGGCTTTGAACTATTGTTCTATTAAAAAAATTGTGTAGAAAACTGTCCCCAAACTCACAGCTTACTATCAGAATAACTAAGGAATTGCCTAACACAGTGTCTATCAGGTATCTCTTTTTCTTTTTCTTTTCTTTTCTTTTATTTTATTTATTTATTTTTTTAGGAATCTCTTTTTCTTATGACACAGCAATTACTTTGAATTGCTGTTTTTGCAATTACTTTTTATTGGAAAAAAAAAAAAACACACAATTACTTTTGCACCAGCCTAATAAAACTTTGCCCTGGGCCTACCCAACCCTAACCAGACTTGCCCAGCAACCTCTCTGACCACATCCCCTGCCCCTTTTCCTTTTTTTGCTAAGCTGCCAGTCTGACCTCCTGACTGCTCCTCTGACCACCCCCTCCATGTCCCTCTTTCCTGAACATGCTTTCCCCAGATACTTATCTACATGTCTTGCTTATTTTATAAGGCCTCCATTCAAATTTTACCCACGCCCACCCCTTCCCAGCCAGAGAGGCCTTCCTAGACCATCTTATCTAAAGAGCATCTCTTCTTCTCTGCCTTCTACCCCATGCATTGTTTTCTTCCAATCACTTGAATTTGTTAACTTTTCTTTTCTTCCTTTTTAATTAACTTTTATTTTTTAGTTTCTGTCTGTCCTAAAAAAGTGGGAGCTCCATTAGTGCAGGGATTTTATTTTATATCCTACTCCACCCATGGAGCAAGACTCACAATAACTACTTGTTGAATGAATAAATCATTGCGATTCCAATACAGATGCTTTGGTAAACAGTTTGCCACATCATACTAGGATTCAGCTCCTTAAGAGTTACAGTGCCTTCCTAAGATTATCTGGAGTCCCTTTCTAAATCCAAAAACTAGTCAGAATTACACCAATCCTTTTCAACCTTTACATCAGAGCACCCATATATGTGTAGTAATATTTGTGACTATCATAGCGATAGAGAAATGGGAAGGGATTTTGAGTTTGAAAACTAGATTTCCTTTATTTTATAAAATTATAATGAGAAAATCTAATTATAAACTATTAGAGATAACATTAAAAATTGAGTTCATTCTAGAGTTTCCAAATAAAATATTTCTTTTTTTAAAAAATTTGCAACCATTAAATAATTCACAGCAAACGCTTCCCATAATGATACATTGTCTGGGAAATTCTGAGTTAAAACCTTTGTGAACTTTTCTTTTTTGGCTCGGGAGACTATGTAATGTGAAGGATTGTCGTTATCTTTGGAAAAGTGTTTTTTTAAAAGAAGTAGAAATTGAAATAAAAACCGTAAGTCATGACATAAGGAGCAATGCAAATGCTGCCTAATAGGTCATGAGTTTTACTTTCCCCTTGGGTAGTCTCTGATAAAGGTACTGGTTTCTAAACCACATTTTACTAAGAATAGCTAGGTTTACTCTGTATTCTCCCATGTACTAGTACTGTGACTCTGGGAGGGTTTTTTAACTTGTCTGGGTCTAAGTGGTTTCATTTGCTTAATAGAAAAGCTGGGAGGGGTTTGAGCTGCTGATTAGGAATTAACACTAATGTGTTGGAAAGAACTACAGGGGTTGTTGCTCTTCACACTGAAGCAAGGGGAGAGTGAGATTTCTCATCTTTAACAACTACAACAAAAATAACAGTGCAAACAAGAAATTAAAAAGAAAATTGCACATGCTCACACAAAATCCCTCAGCAACTTTAATATTCTTTTCAGTGGACCAGAAAACCTTTGGTGTGACAGTTCAAACTTTTGAGGAAGCTAGACCCTGGAAGCAAACTTTGCTGAAAGCCAGCTGCCAGCTAACCACACACATAATTCCATGATGTGAAGGTGGATGGCTGTAAATTTTCCTAAGTGGTGAGAAACAGAGAATGACTTTTAATAATTTCATTTCATTTGCCCCACAGTACATTGTTCAGCCGTAAAATCAACAAAACCTGTAAGCAGGTTGTTGGCCAGAAGTTATTTCTCTCCTTTTTTCCATTTTAAGCGCAGGGTGCCTTCTCTGTGGTTGGGAGAAAGTAACTTCAAAAGGCATTGTCCATGTCTTCCAACAGCTACACTTTGAAATCTAAGCCAGTGTCCTGTAAAATTCTCACAATCTAGAGTAAATACAGACAGTTTGGCACAAATACCCACACTTGAAGTGGAGGCTTTAGGACTATTGTTTGACCTGAAATGGATTATGTTACTATATTTTAAAATGTTTTCTTCAAAAATTATTTTGATCAAAACACTCTTTCACACCAAAAGGTCTTGCTTCACTGAAACTGTGAATGGTTAAGAATGTTAATTTCCTCTCAGTAATGTATCTTCTTTATTTACATATTTTAAGCATCTGTTGCCTGGTGAACTCTGCCCCAGATACTGGTTAATGTTTAAAACAATAGCGGATCCTGTTCCTGCTAAAACCTTCACAGCCTAAGAGAAAGTAAACACATGAGAAAATTTTAACTATCATTTCCATGTCAGAATGACAAGAAGAAACAAAAATAGGAGGACAAAATAATATTCTTCTGTCCTGAAGTTACTCCAGGACACCAAGGCTTTGGCTGTATGTGCCAACATTGCCACTGATTTTTTTATGATGATTCATTCCTCCCACTTAATGCTGTGAAGACACCCCAACCACACTGGCTCCAGATGTTGGTATGTGGAGGAGGCCAGCCTGGTGACCTGAGCAGGCACATGGTTGTTATTGAGTTTATAAGGGTCCAGGTGAAGTTCAACAGTTGCAATATTGCATTTTAAAGACATTTGTTTAGTTACTTAACTCTCATTCTTTCTCAGGTGCCCTCGCTAAAACTTCACCTCTTTCATCGCCCTGCTCCTCACCTCTCCAAGGAACTCCTGCCAGCAGCCTAGTCAGCAAAATTTCTGCAGAGCAGTTTCCAGAATCTGCTGACACAACTGCCAAACAAAGCCTAGGTTCTCACAGGGCCTTAACTTATACTCAGAGTGCCCCTGACCTATCCCCTCAAATCCTGACTCCACCTGTTATATGTAGCAGGTAAGGATTCTTTGTGAACGGAAGTTTAATAATAAAACCATTGATAGTTTTCCCCTAGAAATACCTACCACCAGCCCACAAAGCTTGAGGTAGGTTTGCCAAAGTCATCGACAACCAAGAATGGGATAATGTGATTTCTGTTGAATAGGCTACAATAAAAACTTATGTTTTAGTAATTTTCTATTAACAAAGATAGAATCCATGCAGTTCATACAGCTAATCTTTAGGGAGGATACACGATTATTAGCTGTATATGTTGTCTGTTTCCTGATGGAGAATGTAGAAAAAATGTAACGAAAAATGATATCAATTATTCTGTTATAATTCTTCATTTTGTTGCAATGTTTATACCTGTTCTCCAAACATGTTACATTGATATTAGCCGTATTTAATCTTAGGATTGCATTTCCCATTTTTACAGTTTAAAAATATGTGAATAATATATTGCACAGGATGGCTGGACTCACATAGTTCTCTGAATGCAATTTAAACAACTGTATGTGCTATTCTGTCATATTGAAACAAAATTATAAAATGTTATCTATCACATCAGTTGAGAAAAAATGGCTGGAGTAATTATTTTCCCAAGGTTGTCACTAAGAAAGAATTATGTCTTCTTACTGGTTAATGTACTTTTATTGTTCTTAAGTAATAGCTTGAATAATTTATCTGAAGGCATTATGGTATTATTTAAGTAGAAAAACAGTTGGGTGTTTTTCTAGTTACTACGAGAGTACCTTGAATAAAATAGTATTTCATTTCTGAGGTTAATGAGGATAACTATTTGAATAAATGAGTAACATGTCGGTGTTCTAGTATCAAATATGACTTCATAGACCCAGGTTTTATCAATATATTCAGTTTTAACAAATAGCAACTATTATTAAGCCTCACAATTTTCATTTTTATATATTTTTAGTCAGAAGCTCTGTAAATTAAATAAATGTTGTTTACAATTTTTGTTTTTACTTCCTTTCTCTTGACAATTTTAAATAAGAAATTATTTTCATTTGTTTGCCCAGAGCCAAAGTTATTCTACTATGCAAAAGTTATTCGGCTGCCCTCTATGAGTTGTTTTTAATAAAATGATTTCTGTGGGATATTAATCTCATCTCTTTTCCACAAAAAAGCAAGCTCTATAGTAAAATATTGAGAAGATATATCATACTTTACTCTTAGAGATTCATAACACATATGGCTTTATTAAAAGTTCTTGGAAGTTCTGTTAAAAGAATTTCTCTTTATTTTTGTTGTTGTTGTTTCATTTGATGTTTTCTGAATTTATTTGACCACAGAACCAGTTTCTTTAGGTTAACACCCAATAGTTGCCCATGGATCTAATGTTTGGCAGAACACAATTAAGAAGCATTGTTTTATTGTATGCACCCTGAGCCAAGATGAAACCCCGTGCAGTAATCTTCATCAAGGACATCTGTGTTCAGCATTTTTAGGGAGAATCTCCCACCGTGGGTTCCAGACTTTTGGGAAATATGTCCCCTAAAGAAAGGAGAGAGATGTTCAGAAAAGCTCTACTACTCAGTAACTCTTTTCATCATAGTGGGGTTTTTTTTTTTTTTTTTTTTTTTTTTTTTT